TACTACTACTACTACTACTACTACTACTACTACTACTACTACTACTACTACTACTACTCCTACTACTACGATTACTACGACAACAACAACGAGAACAACCACAACAACCACAACCACCACCACCGTCCCAACCACCGCAACCACCATAAACCACCACCCTTCCCCGACCCTTACCACTACCACTGCCCTACTGCCCCCCTCCCGTGCCCCAGTGCCCCACTGCCCCAGCCGCTGCGACTGCTACTGCCACTACTGCTGCTACTGCTACTGCTGGTGCTATTGGTAATTACTGCTGCTGCTACTGTACTTCTGCTGCCTCGAAACATGTTGCAAGCAGAACCTCCGATCGGTGCCAGCGCTTGCTGCATTGCCGTCCCGGGACACGCTGCTTCCTATCGCAACATCAAGGCACTCCCAAACCCAGAGCCTCCAAAACCCCTTAATTAGGGAATATACCTTAAATCATATAAGGGATCCTATTACAATTTAAGGTATATTCCAAAATTACGGGGTTTTGGAGGCTCTGGGAACCGTCAGAACAAGAGGCGGACCCAATTGCCCAGCTCTCGCCTCTGGCAGAAGTCCTGAACGCGCAACATTTCTGCGGTGCGAATAGCTTCAAGTTTTTTCCCTCACCCTAAACCCTAAACCCCTAAACCCTAAACCCTAGACCCTAAACCAACTTGGTTGCAGGGCGTTGGGGAAGATTGAGAATAGACAGCCCAGGCATTCGCCCTCTAAATCAGGATACTGATCATTTATCCTCGTGCACAATGCCCCGAATCCATATTCTCTCCGGCGGTTGGTCGAGCTTTTGTGTTGAGCCCTTTGCTGGGCTGGTCCTTTAAGGATCATGGAGCATTTTCGCAAATCGGATCCTGCTAGACCCAACAAGCGAAAATACAACACATCCCAGTGGCTAGCCCAGTCTATATGCTGTGTAGGTGAGAGCGTACAATATGCGCATTGAGTCTTTAGGGCGTGGGTGTTGGATGCTTTTTGTTTCGTTGAAATACAACCCTCAAGACTTTGAGTCCTTGGCTCTGAACCAGTAAACCCCAAACCCTAAACCCTCAAAAAGGTTTAGGGTTCCCCAAGCCCTACTCCTACAATGTATCCCCCAAAGCTCCTAAACCCCAAATTCTAAACCTACTCCTACAATGTAATGTCAGAACTTGGTTTTGAAACCCTGGGCCTACAATCCCAAAATAGTAGGATTCATTTCAGGAACCCTTACCAAGTCCCAAGGCTTCTTAATCAGGTTCCTACATTATCCCAAAAGCCCTTACCTAAACCCCCAAAAGTAGGTAAAATAATGGCCCAAAACCCTATAAAGGGCCATTATTCTACATACTTTTGGGGTCCAGGTACACCCTAAATGCCCTAAATTCAAAACCCCAAAGCCCCCGGGCCTCGATAAGCCCAGAAGTCTTGGCTGCGGGAGCCCCGCGTGCGTGAGGCCAGGGCTTCTTCTCCTTTGCCCTGCATGTGGGAGTTTCCGAAATTAGGGGTACCTCATTTTGGGGTCCTTATATTAAGGATCCTACTATAGGGTACTATTTTAGGGCCCCCTATTTTCGGAAACTCCCACGTTTAGGCTGTAGGATTTTTGCGGAGATTTGCAGGGCTGCGTCTGGTTTTCGTAAGTCACGGTGTAGCTTATGTTTTGCTTCACTGGTGTTAGGGTTAATGGCGTAGTAGGTGTTTTATATGGCTTCAATTCGGAGACCATCTAGGTGTTTTCGTACCACGGTCTTGGAGCTTTAGTTCAACATTGGGTGCACGCTGTAACTGAACGGAGCAGATTCGGTATTGAGCGTGGTTCGACAAAAGAGGAGTTGCCATGTGTGGCTTTTGGTTTCAAGCTTGAGGGATGCACCCCACATCATACACCATCACCTTTCGGCCCTACACCATCGCCTCCGAAAACAATGCTCCTTTTACGGAACCTCGTGTGACTACCATTGCTACAAGTTGTTCAACATCCAATACAAAGCACGATGCCCAGAACGGCTGTTTGGCACACGAAACCGAACAGCGCATAGCCGTTTCACATGGTCCAAGGTTTCTTGCCTGGGGTTTTAGGGTCAATCTACCTACTTGTTGGGTATCATGGGGAACTAAAGGTTAACCTTTTTGGGTATATAGGGATATATAGGCACTATACTATCCAAAAAAAGTTAAAGGTTACCTACTCTCCTACTAGGTCTAGACGCAACCAAGTAGGAGAGAGTTTCCCTTGCAGGCTTGGGCTTCGGATGCTGTCGTTGCTTGCAGGAGGTCTGGCACTTGTTTAGGGTTTAGGCATCAGGGTTTAAGATTTACACCGCAGTTGAGTTCATGGCCTAGATTATGAATCATATTTTGGTTGGGTTCAGGGTTTAGGTTTTACCCCGTGGTTGGCTTTATGTACACTGTACTTTCGTTGGGTTCAAGGTTTAGGATGCACATGGGTAGTTGTCAAAATTGTGGTTCCTCTTTGGGTACCCTAAATACTAGGTGCCGTATTATATGAAGGACCCAAAAAGGGACCATAATTTGACAACGGGTTTATGGCACGGTTGGCTTCAGCGCGGGTCTGACCAGGCTTCTGGATTTCGGCTCTGCTTGCGCTTAGCTAGGGTCTGCCTAGCGGCTCCAGAGTAGTTCCTTTTTGGGTTTCATATTTAGAATCCTATAAGGTAATCTCAACAAGGAACTACTATGGAGCCTATGGGTAGGGTCTTGAGCTTGTATTTGCAAGGTTTGGGATTTAATGATTGAAGTCTAGATCAAGTTGCCAGAGGACCAACATTGCAAGAAGAAGCCCAAGCAGGCTATTGTCTACACGAAAGTTCTCGCAACACCTTTGAACAACACACCCGCGAGTCTTTCCGGGATGCTTGAATGGGCTCGAAACCTCATTAGAGGTTAGAGTTCTACACAGGTTGCGCAATGTGGCAAGGGTTTCATGTGGAGATGTTCTTGAGTTTTGGGGTGCCGTAATTCCCCAAACTTGACCCTAAACCAAAACAACCTAACCCCTAAACTCCAGATCCCCCGAAACGCCGTCCCACGCCTTTTCTCTTTCCCGGGCACGACCTCCCAATCCTTGCATGGCTTATTGCAGGATTTGGGATGTGTCATTGTGCGTACAACGTCTTCAAAGGGGTATCAAAGCCGTCTTTTCCGCCTGATATGAAAAGCTACTCAAACTTAGAGCCGGGGGTTCTTAATCAAGGCAGCAGGTTGTGAAGTTGGAGGCTAAGGGGTGTTCGTGCACTGGCGATGAGGTTCGAAGCTTCCTAGAATCCCCGCTGGTCGATAAGAAAAACTGCAGGTCCCTCTAGGCTTGACACGACAGAAATTTTCTAAAGAATCATAACTACTTACTAGGAAGCCAGACCCCGTTTCTCAAGGTTTGCCAGTGGAACGCTGGAAAGCCTGCCTCCAAGACAGCACGGCACCGTAGCCGAAACCCTAAATCCAAAACAAAGAGAGCCGAAAGACGTGCAAATCCCGACCTGAAACTGTCCCACTCAAAGGACGCTATAAGCATTTACGGCCTGGGAGTGAGGGTGTGGGACACAGGGTCAAGGTGCAGGTTGCTTCGCGGCGCCAGACAAAGGAGTGCAAAAAGGATCAACCGTCAAGTTTTAAGGTTTGGTCTTAAGCATATACATACATGTAAATATATACGTATTGATGACACATACATACATACATACATACATATACATGCATACATCTGCGTACATGCACATACACATACATATACATATACTCTACATATACATACAAGTATACATACACACAAGACACAAACATTTACATATGCATATACATATACATATGTGGCCTCTTCCGGATCTTCCTCCTCCTCTGCGTCATCCTCGACCTCGCACCAAGCCTGGCTCTTGTGGATGGCCATCAAACCTCGGCTGGCTGCTTCAAGGAACAGGGGTCTTAGTCTTAGTAAGTAGGGCTGCTATAAAGCATTATGGGGGTATAAGAGTCTAGAGCCTACTCCAGGATGGGGGGACTTCGTAAGTAAGTAGGGCCAAAAGTAAGGCAGCTATAATCACTACCGTAGTGCATCTACGTATAGCCCTCAGTAAAGTACGTCCCCTGAACCTCGGCGAAGGCGACGGGAGAGGCCATGGGCGATCTTGAAGAACTTGAGGGACTATAGAGGACGTGCTACGGAATTACTGGTTATTATATCGCACCTTGAAGAATCTTATGATCCACTCCATGCTCAGGTTCCATTTTGGTGGAAAACTTGAGCAAACCACAAGGACCTGAAACAGCAGGATACTTCGGTCTGGGTAGGTATAAGTTCAGGGTAGACTTTAACAAAAACATGGACTTGCTCGTTTAGGAGGTGTCTGAAAAGAGCTGGAAAGACACCCTATAGTCGGAAAGCTCGCATTCTAGCAAGCTCCTGCCCGGAGACTGGGATCGATTCCTGCCACTGAGGCGTGGGCTACTTAGGCAGCCGACGCAGAAGGTCTTGCGGCAAGAAGGGCACCTCGGCATAAGGCTGTGTTTTGCAGTGGCCCGATGCCCTTGCTGGCCAAAACGGTACCGAGGAACCAACCACGACGATCACGACGACGAAGACTACCAACAAGATGTGCTTAATTGCGGTTACCGAGAAGAAAACTATGGTGGCGACATGATTGCGAATGACAAGGTGAACAACAGCAACGGCCAGAGGCATCAACCGTAAACTGCAAAGTCCAGCCAACAGCTTGTGTCGCATTGGGCAAAACATCGGCCGCCTCATCCTTTTGTTGAATTCCTTACTCCATGTCACACCCGGGATGCCACGGTTTAGGGTTTAAGGTTGAGGGTTTAGGGTTTAGGGTTGAGGGTTTAGGGGACAAATCTAAAGCCCCAGACTGCATCCAACTTCACCAGCCTAAGACCTGAAACGTTGCCGACAGCACAGAACCTAGCACCCGACCCCAACACCCTAATGCCGGGCCCTTTCACTTAAAACCAGGATTTTGGGACAGATGTGGAGCTATAGTTCATACAAGGAGCTCTGGGCTCGAGACCTTCCAGCGGTAGAGTGGAGTCGGCCAAACATCGAGGGTTTTGTGCTAACTACGATGGGCGAACGCCTCTTTTCGGAATTGGCTGCTGGGGACCTTTGCGATTTGGTGGTTTGCATCATCCGCAGTGACATGCACGGGGCCACCATGAGGACTCTTTGGCATTCCGAAATCTGTAAATGTGCGGGAAGCTTCGAAACAGGACAAACTTTGACCTTGTATGCTGCTCAGCACCAGGGACACTACGACGGTGTCCACCATCTGCAGTTGCTATCAGGTACCCGAGTGCTTGTCAGGCCCCCTCTGGGTGGCCAGTCTTTTCGTACTTTGAAAGAGGTTTGCGCGGGCATTGGCGGCCAAGCGCAAGGCTGTCGAGAGCTGGGAGGCAATTGCCTGGCCGTTTCAGATTGGAGCGCCTTAGCATGCGACACTTTGGCATTGCAACATGCCACCGTCGTGCAAGGAGATATCACAGACCCTGCGGTCAGGCGTTCGGTGCACAGTGCCAGTGCTGAGACACGTTGCTTGCTAGGGGCAAGCTTGCCCGGTCCTGGCTCCAGCCGCGGTTTGAGTTCAGGGTCTTCGGTTTGGGAGTGTCCACTGCTGCCCCACATCCTGCACCTTGCCTGGTTTTCACAAGCCAGTGGCCTTGTCTTGGAGAGTGAGGTCAACATCCTTCAGCACTCCTCGTGCCTCAGCCAGATCACAGCCTTTGCAGCCAAAGCAGGTTTCCAGGTCTCCCAGGTTGTCATTGAGCTTGCACATCAATGGGCATCGCGACGAGCTCGCTGGTGGGCAGTCCTGCTCCCAGCCCACCTTCCTGCCTTTGAATTGCGAACCTGGCCACACTCCAGCAATTTATGGCGGTCCAGGATGTCATTCCTGAGTGGCCCTGCTGGCCAGCGGAGGAGGAGCAGGCCTTAAGGTGGTCACCTGAGGAGTGCCAGGCCTTCAGCAATCCCACTTTCGGGCCGACTGATAGGGCCATTGATGTGACAAAGCAGGCTCCAACGATGGTCCATTCTTGGGGAAATGCTTTCAGGCCGTGCCCCTGTGGCTGCACTCGACCACTCTTCTTCAGATGCGTCACCTGCACCCACAGGAGGCTGGCCTCCTTAATGGTTTAGTCCCCGGTTTCCCCCTGCCGTCGGATCTGCGAGCGGCCCTGTGCCTCATTGGCCAGATGACTTCACCCATGCAGGCCTTGTGGGTGCATGCTCAGGTTTGGGACTGGGCTGCGGAAATCTTTGAGGGTCCTGCCGGCAGGCTTTGGGTGCGTATCAGGCTCGCCTTTTGCATGCCAGACTAGACTCCTGGATCACCCCTGCCATTCTGGCCGGCGGTCACATATCCGTCCAAACTGAGGAGGCCCTGTGGGAACCCAACATTGTCGGCCCAACCACTGTGCAGCAGCTTCTGCAGGAAGCGAAGGCCAAGCTGGCTCCCGGTCTCCGGATCACTCTCAGTGCGGAGGATCGCTGCTTGCCCTTTCATGCATTGGTGCACCCGGCCCCCTCAGGCCCGGTTTACAAACTTGTGGTGAAGCCTAAGCATGCTAGTCGGGATGCTCTGCCTGCCCAGCAGCCCACTAATCAGTGTGCGGAGCCAAGCTCCCCTGCCTGCGCCTTGATCCCCCTTGCGGTTCACCTTGCCCCCCAGGGCACCACATCATGCACAGACATCGCGCTCTGGTGTGGCCTATGGGACACGGCCCGGACCTTGGGAACCGATTCCGTGCTGATCCTCCCGCCCAAGATAGCAATTACTTTGCTTGAGTTGTCGGAAGATTGCAGTCGTGTGCTTCGAGGGCAGCCCTCTCTTGAGTGGCCCCCGCACATGTTGGTTTTCGCACCTTTTGTTGCAGCGGGTCACTGGACCTTGCTTGTCTTGAGCCAGGGCTCCCACGAACAACCACAAGTGCTGGCAGAGGTCTTCGATGGCATCCCGGGGCGCAACACGACCCCGGCCCGAAAGCTGGCAAACATCCTTTGTGCCCTGGCCGGCCGAACGGTGCACAACTTTGTTGAACTTTCTTTCTGGCTCCAGACCGAGCAAAACAATTGTGGGGCCCTTGCGCTAGCCCATGCTGCCAGTCGACTTTCAGGATCGCCGGATCCCCTGCACCTACAGAACGCATTGGACTTTCTCGCCTCTTTCCCCCCGCTACCCTCCCACATCTTTGGTGATGGCGGCCTCTCAGCTGAGCAGGAACGTGAGCTCCATGCACTACTGGTGTCAAAAGGGGTGCCGGCTACGGCTGTTGAAGCCAGACTGCAGCAGGCTGTTGCAAAGCTTTGGCTGCAGCGCTGAAATCTAGAAACCCCTGGCAGCTCCTCAAGGCAGCAGGCTCCAAGCCAGGCGCACTTTTCAAGTGGGTGCAGCCAGAGGAGCTAGCAGCCCACATCGAGCAACGGGCCCAGGAGAAGTTTGGAACCGAGGTCCCAAGGGCCAAGGCGAAAAAGCAAAAGGCGGCTCGGAAGCCGGTGCATGCCCCGCTTCATGAGGATCCTTCACAATTGCAGCTGTCGCCTGCTAGCTTTGCCTCAAGCTCCGGAGCCCCGCTTGGCCAGCTGCAGTTTGAGGAAGTTCAGTCCCAGGCTACAGGCATCTGCTTTGCCTCCTTGGAGCAGGTTGCTCCTTTCCTTAGGAGCAGCACCAATCTTAGTGTCGATGCACTTGCTCTTGTGACGACTTCAGAGATTGCTCTAGAGTCTGCTGGCTTGGCTCGGGTTTCCTCTGTACGGTACCCGGCGATCTTTGCACCAACACAGGAAGCCATTTTGGTTTCGGGTTCACTAGTCCAACTAGGAGACGAAGATGTCCAGATTGCAGCCACCGACATCGCCGAGGTAGATCATTTGTCGACCTGTGTGTGCAGACTGAGCCTCTTTCGTGACGAGTGCAAGCTCTCTTGGGACTCGATCGCCGAAGCCCCCATCCGAGTGCTTCTCCAGCAAGTGCCGGAGCTCCAGGTCTGCCGAAACCCCTCGTGCGATCAATCCTGCCCGGCATTTCATGCCGCTGTCGACGAGGTGGTCGACCACTTGTTCCTTGATGTTTGGGCCCGCCAGTGGTGCCGACTGTCAGGCGGTAAGATAAAGGCTGCTGAGGCAGAGCTGTTCCAGGCTTTCATCAGGGTCCCCTCGTCGGCAATTCCGCACCTCTTCAGGGTTTCCCTTCCCGGCCTGTACATTGAACCTCGTGCAGCAGATGGCTCTGGCCCTCATGCATCTTGGGCTGTCGTTTGGCTGCCGGGCACCAGTGCCGCGCAGGCCCTTCATCTTCTGAAGACCACGAGTAAGGCTGTGGCCTTGGCGAGGCTTGGTGTCAAGTACGGCCTCCGCACAAAGGAGGCAGACGAGCAGACAGTCTTTGAGGCCCTTCGACCGAACCATCATTTCGTGAAGGTCAGGGTTGTTGCTCGCTTCCGGCTCCACCCCCTCCCACATGGCTTCCAACGACACAACCTTCTGCTTTTGAAGCAGTGGGGCTGGAACTGTAAGCCGTTGCAGCCGGATCGTGGCGATGCTCTGGGTTGCGCCTGGTTGGTAGGAGCAGCTGATGAACCACCGGCCCAGGCCTTGCCTTTAGGCACAAGTTTCGTCTTGGCCACCAAGGTCCGTGACTTTAATGCCTCCCGAACCGCGCCCTCTGCAGTTTGCGCCTCCGCCCGGACCCGCAAAGCCCTTCTCATCGATGATGATGGTGACGATGGCACTGCTGCCGACCCTTGGAGCGGCGGTCGGGACCCATGGTCCCAGGCACGTCCCTCGACTGCCATTGCGGCTCCGCCGGCAGGCTCGTCTTCTGAGACCACCAAGAAGCTTTCGCAAATCGAAGACGGCCTTCGACAGGACCTGCACACGATGCTGCAGAAGACCCTTGATGAGAGAGAGGCCCCGCCTGGCCTCAGCGAACAAGACAAGCGCCTGCACTCCCTCGAAACCACTGTCAGCGAACTTCGCCATCAAGGGGCCAAATTTGAAAGTTGGTTTCAGGGGTTCGGCACCAAGGTTGCCGATCAAGCCCAGCAGCTGACTGAGCTCCAGACCACTGTCAAGGAGCAACAGGCCGAGCTCGGACGTGTAAAGAGCGATGTTCAACAGACTGTGCATCAAGTCGTTGGGGCACTCCAGTCGGAGCTTACCTCTCAGATGGCATCACAGCTTGCCGGGCAGATGGAGCAGATCCAAGAGCTCTTTGCCTCCAAAAAGCCACGGCTTGGACTAGGCCGAACCAGCCGTTCGTCTGGGCGAAAGAACGGGCTGGGAATGCACAGTCGCCCCACACTTGGTTGTGCCAGCCTGACTTTGGTGCATCTTTGTCGCTTTGTTTTTCAAGTTCCGTGTGGCTTGCTGCTAGCCCTGTCATGTGTCTTGGGTTGCCAGACTGCGGCTGCCTGCCACACCATTAGCTCCACCACCGTCCGTTACGGTGAAGCCGAACATCCGGGCCCGTCCTCGGTGCCTCCTTTCTTCATCAGTACCAGCAACCCTTCGGGACTCCGGGCCAAGGAGCCACACTACACGTCTTGGGGGTTGGGTGTTCACTGCTTTTCCGAGACCCAGCTCTCGGCCATGCCGGCAGCAATTTCGTTCATGTGCTAGAGCTACAGGCCGCAGCGCACATGTTTTGTCAGGTGCCCCCGCGGCCTTGCGTGTCAACAGCCAATGGGCTGGAACCTGGACTGGGGTTCTCCAGGTTAGTGACTTGCCCTGCAGGCCACTCAATCCCAACTGGCCGCTAGGTGTCTTCGAGACAGGCCGTATCATGCTGGCTCAGCACTATCATGAATCGACCCCTCTGTTGGTGGCTACTGTCTACGGGTATCCGAGTGGGCCAACCTGGCCCGACTCCAAATCTCGTACCGACAACCTCCTCAGCACCCTCACCAAAGAGGTGGTGTTAGGCTCTCGCGGGTTCCGGGTGATTTGTGGTGATTTCAACCAGGACCTTGAGAGTCTGCAGCAGTGCACTTTGTGGCGAGCCCAGGGCTGGATCGAAGCCCAGGACCTTGCCCAGCAACTCTGGAATCAGGCCCCTGTTATGACGTGCAAACATGCAACCCGCCGTGACTTCATTTGGCTCTCGCCGGAGGCGGCATCGCAATGCACTCAAGTGTTGGCCTCTGAGGTTTTCCAAGAACACACCACCCTCCTGGCAGGCTTCTCTCTGCCACAGGTTCCGGCGGCACAGACTACGTGGCCGCTACCGGCCGAGCTGCCTTGGTCGGAGGTGCAACTTGATGCTTGGCACCGGTCGGGCAACCATCACCCGGTTTTTTCGGAATCTTCGGACCTGTGGCTCGCGCGGTTTTCCAAGGCTGTGGAACATAGCTTGGAGGGTTTTGTGCCTTCATTTCCTAATGGCCGGCCTCCCTCCAACACCTTTGGCAGAGGCCAGCGCACGCAGCCCCAAACAAACTCCAGCCCTCAGCTGTCGGTCAGGCCCAGCCGGCCCGGTGAGGAAGCGTTGCGACATGATGGACTCGGGGCCGAAGTGAGACGCTGGTTTCAACAACTTCGACGCCTCCAATCCTTGCACCACGCGGTTAACGCTGGCAACCCCTCAGCTGGAGCCGTAAGCTATCGCCTTTCGCTTTGGCGATCCATTTTGCAGGCGCGTGGCTTCCGCCATGGTTTTGCCAATTGGTGGTGTACCCGTCCTGTGCGCTTGGCCAATAGCCCAGGCACTCTTCCAGTGACCCTCCCCACTGCCTCCCTGGCCCAGCTCCTCTATGAGGACTTCCGGGCGAATTTCCGTAGGCTGGAGGATTGGCACTTGCGAAACCGCACCAAAGTTCTGGATGCCAAATATGATCGCTCTTTGGCACAAATCTATCAGGACTTGCGAGCGCCTGGTCCCGAACAGGTGACAACACTTCAGGTAAGCCGTGAGTACGCCATTTTGGCTGTTGAGGGTCAGCAGGTGCACCTCGATCGCCCTCTGGACTTAAGGGGTACCTCCTCCTGGGCCATAGATGGTGAGCCGACTTCCATCCAATCAAGTGAAGATGACTTGTGCACCCTGACCACTCCTGCAAGCTTGTCCGGCCAAGAACTTGAGCAAGTACAGACCCTCTCTTCGGTGGCCGATCTTTGTTTTGAATTTAAGTCCCTTTGGGCACCTCGCTGGCAGCTGCACTCCGCAGCCACACCTCCAGACTGGCAGCGATTCATGGATTTTGTCATTGCCTTCCTGCCCCAGCACAGGATTGAGCTGCCCGACATTACTCCCGAGGTCTGGACTCAAGCCATTCATCGCTTCAAGCCTCGAGCCGCCCGTGGCCCGGACGGCTGGGCCCGAGCTGATTTGTTGAACCTGCCCCGGTCTCGCACCACGGAGCTCATCAACTTTCTTTCAGAAGTGGAGGCAGCCCAAAGGCCGTGGCCCCGTCAAATGATTGTTGGGTTTGTCTGTCTCCTTTGCAAAGGCAACGGCAGAACCGACTGCCAAGGATACGGACCCATCTGCCTTTACAGCATCATTTACCGTGCCTGGGCCGGCATTCGTGCCCGCCAAGCCCTTGCTGCGCTGCGATCCTTGCTTCCGACGGATCTTTTTGGATTTATCCCAGGACATGAGGCCATGGAAGTCTGGTTTTCTATCCAGTCGGACATCGAGCTCAGCTGCCAAAGCGGGGAAGCACTTCTCGGCCTATCACTGACATCATCAAGTGCTTCAACCACCTACCCCGTGCACCCCTTTTCATGCTGGCTAGGCACGTTGGACTTCCGCCCTGCCTGTTGAAACCTTGGGCAGCTTTCCTCAGTGCCACTGAGCGCCGGTTTCATATCAGAGGTCAGGTTGGGGAGGGGATCCTTTCTTCTTCAGGGTTCCCCGAGGGCTGCCCACTTAGCCCGTTGGCTATGGTTCTCGCTGATTGGTCCTACCACGAGTACATGCGGGCTTTTGCTCCATCTGCCAGATCTCTCAGCTACGTGGACAACCTCACCTGCACCTCGCAGTCGGTGGCTGCTCTGATCCGGGCTTACGGGGTCATGTCTTGCTTTACCGATCTGCTGGGACTGCCCTTGGACGCTACCAAGACCTACGTCTGGGCAACAAAGGGGGCCGATCGCGCTGCTCTCAAGTGCTTGGGTCATCCCGTGGTTGAGGCCGCCCGTGAGCTGGGTGGCATCATGTCGTTCGGCCCTCGGATTCGCAATGCCGCTATGAAAGACCGCTGTGCCGCTTTGGGCCCACTGTGGGCAGCACTTCGACGCTCCCAAACGCCAGGCTGCTTGAAACTCCAGACACTTCCAGGCAAGTTTTGGGCACAGGCTCTGCATGGCATATCTGGCTGCCCTTTTCCGGAGGCTCAGCTAAGCCGTCTGCGCTCCGCTGCAACTGCTGCACTTGGTATTCGCCCGGGCGGCGTAAGCTCCATGCTCCGCCTCAGCATTGCAGAGCCCTCCACTGCGGATCCGGGTTTCTATCAACTTTGGACTTGTGCCCGAGATTTCCGTCGGATGGCAGGCAAGCTCCCGAACTTCGTTCTCCAATGGCGCACGTTCATGGATTCCTTTGATGGCCGGACCACTCACGGTCCCTTCACCAAATTGGTCACCGTCTTTGCACAGGTCGGCTGGAGTATCCAGCATCCACCGTGGATTTTGGACCACGAAGGACTGGAGCACAACTTCTTGACGGTCCCACTGGTCTTGCTCCGCAGACTTTTGGAGCACGCATGGCTCCAATTTGTGGCTCGCAGCCACAACCACCGGCAGGGCATGTCTGACTTGAAGGGCTTAGATCCTGGACTTCTCAAAGCGGATCAGAAGCAGCTGAGTGCCCTCAACAGTGCTCGATATGCATCGGTGAGAGCCGGAGCCTTCCTCTTTGGCCACATGCACTCGCATTACGACCTCACCAAGGATGGCCTTTGCTCCCGCTGCCGTGTCCCAGACACCGTTGAGCATCGCTGCCGAAGCTGCCCTCACTACTCACACCTCCGAGTTGAACACCAATGGGCGGTAGATCAATGGGACTCTTTGCCAGTCTCGTTGACTCACCACCTGCTCCCCTCGGCCAACCCTCACTTAGTTACTCTTCGGAGCTTGCTGCACCGCGCAGTGGACACTACCGGGGTTTTCTTTTGTTCAGGGTTTGGGGATGGCTGGCAGCACCTCTTCACAGATGGAGCCTGCATTGAGAACTTCGACCCAGAGTTTTCTCTGGCAGGATGGGGCCTCGTGCATGCACAGCATCATGCAGCAGTGGCTTGCGGTGTGTTGCCAGGAATCCTTCAATCAGCCCCCCGGGCTGAGATCTGTGCCATGACGGCGGCCGCCCGCTGGGCCATTGGTACGGGTTTGCCATGCATTGTTTGGACAGACGCACAGAATGTCTCCACTGGTGTTGCCGCGCTCCAGGCAGGGCTGCCTCTGGACCGGGACGCCGACACCGACCTTTGGCAGACACTGGAAGGCCTATTGGTTCAGCTCGACCCGACTCGGTTCCTTGTCAGGCACACTCCTTCTCATCTGGATGAACAGCTTACGGAGTCACCATACGAAGATTGGCTCGCCGGTTTCAACGGCCACGCCGATGTCTTGGCCGGCTTAGCTGCTCGTAACAGACCGGAGATGCTGATGACGGCCTATTTGGCCGCCCGGAGCTACCACAGTGAGCAAGTCCGTCTACTTCGGGCTTTTCGGGCCATCTTTTTCGGCATTGCTGATATTGACCAAGGCCGCGGTCGACAACAGGTCCCCGCCGATGATGATACTTGGGAGCCGCAGGTGCCCGCACCCTTTGCGGTGCCTCGGCGGCTAGACATCGAGGGCCAGCTCCCTCTGAATTGGCGAGATCAACTCCCATTGGCGTGTGATTTGCCCTCCGACTTTGTTGGTGGGATCTGTAACTTCCTTTTCGAACAAGACGCCCAGGCAACAGCAGCCTACGAGCTGTCATGGTTGGAACTGGTCTTCGCCTTACATTTGGAAGGAGCCGTCGTCTATCCTGTCTGCGATTCGAGTGGCAAATGGGTGTCCGCTACCAGTAGACTTCTTCAGCCCCCAGCTCCGACTGTAGCTGGGAGGCTGAGCTTAGTTCGTCGGGCCATGCGCCCTGTTTTGCGTCGCTTAGGCCTGCAATCATCTATGATTAGTGGCATTGATCGTTCCGATTTTGGTTTGGGTTTTGCCCTCGATGGTCTTATCATCGGTTTCAGTACTGATCTTTTCTTGCGGGCAAGGGCGACACTCGGCCACTTTGTACAGGGCAGAGCTGCAGGCACCAGGGCTGCACTTGCCAGGCCGCTTTAATCTGACCGGACGAGGACATCGCCGCCGCGGACTGCACTGCTCACGCCGTGCATCCGCATCATGGTACGTGTGCGCTATAGTTCATACAAGGTAATCCAGGGAAAGCTATCTCTGCTCCATATGACACCCACAACCTTCCTCCAGTTGCCCCAAAAGCTATGAAGCCAAACGTACTGAGACTCGCACCACCAAGCGCTAGTGCTGGGTGTGACACCTGACGATGGCAGTGACGAAGGCTCACAATGCAATAGACTCGCGAAATCCCTTCAATCCTATACTGAACTTAGAACCCTAGCAAAATTGTAATTTTAGCTGTTTCTTAGGGATTATAATAACCAAAAAGTGAAAAAAAGCTATTTCTAAGTACCCCTAAGAATCCAGGAGCTGGTTCGTAGAACTACAGAAGGGGCAGGTTGCAGCAAATAGAACCTTTGATATTGTGAGTCTCTGGACTCACTGACGATTCAGCGTCACTAAGTTAATGGTTTCGGGTGTTCGATGTTGGGCGGATTTCCTAAAACCTAAACCCTCATTAAGCCTCAAGCCTCAAGCCCACAACCCCAAACCCTAAGCAACCCGAAAATGTAAGAGTCCGCAAATACTGCTTTAACTTGGGGTCCATGGTTGTTGTTTTGACAGGCTGGTGCTTCTTCTGCGCTGCGTACTTAGGGCTTAATGAGATTCATGCTTACAGTCTAATGTAGGAACCTGATTAAGAAACCTTGGGCCTTTATTAAGGTTCCTTCTATGAATCCGTTGCTGTTATAGGCCCAGGGTTTCCTAATCAGGTTCCTAGATTAGGGGTTTAGGGTCCTAGCAGTCTGGGGTTCCAGGCTTGGGCTGCAGGACTGGGGCCTTGGGGCTTAGGGTTTATAGTGTTTGGGGCACAAAGTTGAGAGTTACGGCGAGTTTCCGTTCTTCTGTGGGATGTTGAGAGGATCAACTTCCGTCCTTGCTCACGAACTCGACAACCTTCAATGGCTTCCAGCTCTGAAGACAATCGACTATGTTGGACACTGACAACGAATCAACATACGACCGAGGATCTATGCCCCGTATTACCGCAGTATGGTCTCAAATTCTTAAAAGAACGAAGTCGTAAAGCATCAGTCATTGTCGAGTACCCAGCTGCTGAAGCCCCAAACTCTTTCTCTCTCCCCTCTCTCTCTCTCTCGCGCTCTCTGTCTGCGACCTAAACCCTGCACCCTCAGCCCTATCTCCGAAGCCCTGAGCCCTGCGCTTTCAATGCTGAAGCCCTAAAGCCTACGGAAGCCTATACCCCGCAGAATCTCCAACTCAAATCCCTACAGAATCGTAGTGGAACCCTTCCGGAAACCTTCATAAGCACACGAACCAACAAATATCCTCTGCATGTCAGGCACATTGCCCACCGTTGGCGGCAGAATTCGAGCACGTGCTTGGCTCCTTTGCCAGTGCCAACTCGGGTCGGGTTCGGCGGGCAGGGGTGCCAGGGGGTAGGGTTTTGGGATGTCGGGATTCAGGGTTAGGTCTCACGCATTTAGGGTTTTCAGCTTTTTGGGAACGGGCTTCTGAGTTTGCAGGGCCTTGAACCATCGTAAAGTCTTAAACGGTTCTGTGCGAGTTCTGCGTCGACGGTTCTGCAAGCATACGAAGGCTTCTATCATTGCTGGCCCCGGCCCCAGCAAACTGTCATCGTGGTGGTTGTCCCAGCACGAATGCAAACATATGATCGGAACACGTAACATGTGGCAGAGGGTCGTAAAGTCTTTCGGGATGCTGTGACAATGTAGAACAATATCCTGTCATAAAATACCGGAGGTTATACAGCCTCGCTTTCTGCATTGTCGACTCTTCGCTATTGGGGGATGTGGGGTTTGCGCGTGGGTGTCCATGGGCTTAGGTTGGGGAGGGTTGAGGCTATGGGGTTTCCAACTTTTGGGCTTCTACTGTAAACCCTTTCACACACGGGCAATGGCTCTTTTCCTAGGTAGTATTAGGGAGACCCTTTAAAGTAACCCTTCTTAACCCTACTTCTGGCTTTCTAAAAGGGGACCTTATTGAGAGGGTCTTTATCCCCACGGGTCCTCCTCGTCCTAACTCCTATCTTTGACCCATTCGGGAAAGCCCGGCTGCAGCTCACAAAGATCCTTTGGAACGCGTCCTTGTTTGCATACCACTCCATGTAACTCCTCCGACAGGTGAACTGTGTATTTTGCCATCGAGATACCTCTCTTCTTCAACAACCGGGCCCCAAAAAGTTCAACATTTCTGTTCACTATCTAGAGATAGAAGCAGGTGGAGGAGCAATCGAAGTTAATGGAAATGGACGGCAAGCCGAAGCAGTCCATCTTGTGATTCGGTGGTTTTAAGGCTTATATTGAGCTATTCTGGCTTCTAGGCTTTAGGAGTTCCATCTTGCTGTTGTTAAAGGCTTTTTTGTCGGGCCTTGCACGGCTGTATGTATGGTGCTGGAACGTTTTGCGTCGAGGACCCTGCCTTGTGGTACGGACAGGCATTCTATACTGTGGCTAAAGTCTAACATGGGAGTCCGAAAATTCGGGGTACCTTATTTTGGGGTCCTCATAATGAGGATGTTACTATTTAGGGTACTATATTAGGGTCCCCTATTTTCGGAAACTCCCTAGCAGACTATGGCAGCTCCAAGTAGGGTTTCGAGTTTCGGGTTTCGGAAGGGTTAAGGTTTGAGGTCAAAGCCAAAGGTTGTCGGGTCTTGCTGACTGCACAACGGAGGTGTCGTGTTGGCGTATTTCGGTATCGAAAGGCATCGTGTTCTATTGAGAGACAAATGAACTTGACACAACTGGCCATTGCAGCCGGTGCATGGGCAGAAGTTGTTTTTCAAAATGCTCGAGTACAAGAAGAATGACAACGCCAGCCACCACCGCGAGTGCTTGATAATTTCGATTTATCGCTATGCTGTCGCAGCTTTTTTCCCTGATTTCACGGTTTGGATACAGGGCTTCAGAAATGTACTGGGCCCCAGGCCCTGGATAATGTCACCAAGACGTCTGGAGGGCTTCACATTAAGAAGACTGTAAGAGTAACACACCTCAGTTGCTGAGTTCATAAGCACCAAAAAGTGTGCATTTTCAGTTCTCTCTCTAATAATCTTATCCCAAAACGTGTAAAGCGTATCCACTCAGCCACTAGGACACTTTCTGGGGAACCCGTAAGGCGAAGTACTCCCAGACATTCACGCCGCGGGGACGTGCCATGAACCGGGCCAACCCGGAAGGCAAGCTTGATTCAGGGAGGCCATAGGGAGTTCTCATAACTCCCGATTCAAGCGCCATGAACAAAACTGAACTCTTCTTGGCCCTATATGCCAAAAACCATAGTAACACCACACCTTGGACTACAAGGGCAAAAGCACGCCTTCAAACAATTAAAGACTCAATGCTTCAACGATTGTGGGAAGGCTTGCGGGGAGACAGGTTTTAGACGTTCGGGTTTCAGAGCAGTGGGTTTCCTGGCATGATGGCGTGATGTGTTTCAGAAACTGAAGTGGGCTCTGCGGTTGACGGAAGCATGAGGGCACATGGGCTGCATGCTAATTACAGTATGGGATAGTGAGATCCCGCAGCAATAATAGGACACCTCCTTAAAAGTCCTTACATGGTGTCTGCGAGTGGGCACGGTGAAAACTGAAGCCCTTGACATGCAGCGCACGCACTTGCCCGCTCCAGCACTCGGGACAGGAGGTCTTGGACTTGGTCGCTGTTTGGCGGCATCGCTCCTGAATCTCATGGAATGAGGTTGCGAGATGTTGCGAGCAGGAGGAGGAGTAGTAGTAGTAGTAGTAGCAGGAGTAGTAGTAGTAGCAGGAGTTGTCGTAGTAGTAGTAATTTTCAAAGAAGTACTAAAAGCCGTAGTGGTAGCGGCGCTAGATCAAGTAGCCGTACCAGTAGCAGCACCAGTAGTTGTAGCCATGGTTGTCTCATCGCACTACATAGATAAAAAGAAGTTACAGTACCTGACTTATAACCCTACTTACTATAAGTTCCCTGATCCTTCAAGTAAGGAGATATTATTTATGAGGGGCCCCCACCCTGTAACAGTGGTATAATAGGAACATAATAGGGCCCTAGTATAAGCCTTATAGTCACTATTACAGGGTGGGGGCAGCTTCTAAGATATGATCAACAAATCATTCAAGCCCCCCTTGCAATCCCCTATAGATCCCTTGAAGGAACCCTATAGATCCCTTTAAGGAGCCCTTTAAGTAAGGAGATATGATCAAAAATCATTCAGGCCCCCCTTGCAATCCCATGGCGCCCGCGGATTGGTCGGCTCGACACTGGGCCCTGTCGAGGCCGTTGAGTCTTGCCTCAGCAAGGCTGCCAATAATAATCTGAAAGTAAACCCTCTCTCTCTCTCTCTCTCTCTCTCTCTCTCTCTCTCTCTATATATATATATTTAAATATTTACATATTTATATATTTATATACATGTATATATGGGTGGGTGTCAAAATTATGGTCCCTTTTTGGGCACCCTAAATAATAGGTGCCGTACTATAACATTGACCCAAAAAGGGACCCTAATTTTGACAACCACCCATATAACTGATACGAACTTTAGACCACAGTATTCAAGTATGGTATTTCAAGATGGAGCAACGCCCAAAACCCGAAAACCTCTCGACCCGAGCTAACAGGACTGTCGTTCTGACGCTCACACTGCGACAAGCCTGGCAAGGTGCCAGACCAGGGTCTGACAAGTGAAAGGGCAAGAAGACTGCTATACTGGGCTATATAATGGGTATATAATAGCTTTATCAAGGGTATAAACTGAACTTAGAACCCTAGCAAAAATTATCATTTTGGCTGTTTCTTGAGGATTATGATAACCAAAAATTAAAAAAATATTTCTAAGTGCCCCTAGGACTGGTCCAGCTGGCATTTGGAGTGCATGTCGTAGGGGTTTAGAGCTTGAGGGTTTGGGTAGGCGCACGCTGATCATTCGGGCCGGAAAGCTTTTCAGCAGTGCTACGCCTA